AGTTTTAGTACCTCTCTAATCAAAGCAACAAACTGACAGAATCTCAGTTTGGCTGTTTTTAGGTTACTGAAAACTTCAGGGTAAAATCTACAATGCCCTTTAGATTATTTACATATGTAACTAATAATTTCCGAAAAGGCTTAACCTAAATCCTGCTCAACACTAAAAGCATCTGGGTACCTCTGTCCTTTTCCTTTTGAATAATGGAGTTTATATTCCTGAAAGACATTGCTTTTGAAAAGTATCACCCACAATGCATCTGTGCCATGTCAGATGATTCAATTCATAAGGCATATCTTGTTTTTGAGGGTGGTATGAGAGTCAGTGTTGTTTGGAAATGTTTAATCGAACGGCAACAAGCTGTAACTCCTCATTTACTTTATAATGTGATACAAAATAAATTATGAACATGGGAGTTGAAAGGACCTTCTGGGTCACTGAGTTCATCCCCAATTCTGCAGATGAATATACATGTCTGACAAGTCTACAGCTTTCAGTAATCTAAAAATATAAATGCAAACCCACAGTAAACAGAATGTAATATATGCACAGAGGTTTCTGTAACACTACTGTGTTCTGTCGTAAGTTTAGCCTCGGTGTTCTGGTTGCAGCTAGCAAACAGAGACACACTCACTAAGAGATCAAGAGTCTGCTGGCTGCCACACATGTTGACTTTTAGCTAAAGAGGTCAGTAACAACCTCCTCATTCTCATCATCCTCTCCTGTGAGTGTGGATAGTCACAGATTAAGTGTAGCTTTTCTGGTCAGGATATTAGGAGTCCCTTAATTATCTACTACCCTCATTTTATGCCAGAGACACAGAAGAAAGCAAGTGGACCTACCACCCTCGTAGCTCATTGTTATTTGCCAAGTAAGGGCAACAGGATTATTGTTTTCTCCAGTCCAGCATTTAAAAGATGAAGAATGGCCCTGTTGCCCTCCTTGGGGACTCCAGGAGAACGTTTTTTGTTGTGAAGATCAGGCTCTGGAAAGAGGTGACACACTGGGATCATTCATTATCTGTGATATGAACCTACTTCTGCTTTCAGACAGTCCAGGTAACAACTTTGAAGTATACTACCTTAAGAAGATCTGAATCAATTTATATTAAAAAACTGTTAAGCCAGTGTATAAAGAATACCAGTGAGATTAGAAAGTCCAGGATTTTAAATGCCTCAGTGTTAAGGAGAATTAACATTGACTCAGAATACAAGCCCTGGTAAATATTTAAGTTCAACTCCTTTATGAAGTGGGGATAAAATACAAAGTATTCCACTCTGCTATAAAAATCTTATGCCAGAGCATAAAAGCTGCTACAGGACCTGTGTCCTGAATGGAGGACTGCTTTACATTTATCTGCAGTTCCTTATTTTTGTCTCTCTGTTGTTCTGTGTTTTTTTTTCCTCTGGATTCCTGGCTGCTCTGGTAACTGATGTTGGTGAATATGGAATAAACTTGCTTTTCCTAAGGTATCATTAAAAAAAAAAACAAACCAAACCCTACTTCAGCAGGGTTTCAGCTTAATATTTCCCCTTGAAAGCTACCTTTGATGAATAATTTTTTGCACTTTTTTGCAAATTTAAAGTGAAAGCAACAGAATCAGTTTCAATGATGCCATAAATTTTATTTTTTTTATTGCAATTGCTGGTTTAATCTCATTGTGAATGAGAAATAAAGCAGTACTTCTTTCTCTGCAATTGAAAAGGCTCAGTTTCTAATTCACGAAAATGAGATTGCATAAATACTCAAAAGACATGTTACAGTAATCTTCAAATCTTCATCTTCAAATGAAAAGTAGTCTCTTCAGAAAGGAAAAAAAAAAAAGCTCTGATCAAAATTCTGAGAGTTATAAATAAGGACTCTGTACACAAAGAAACTTTGTATATTCAGTAGAGTGTCATATGATGGCAAAAGCACGAGGGTCACCCTGAGGATTACATCATCCAGAAGAGAACACAACATGCATCTCTTACATGAAAAGCATGTCAGACAAAATCCATGTATTTGCAAAGCCTTAGCTTCTTGGTCTCCAGTGTCTCATTAAATGTATAAGAGGTTATTTTTACCCTCTTTAGATTTATCTTTCCTGGGCATGCAATGGTAATCCTTATTTAACTGCAAAGCCTACCATGAGGGAGAATTAATTTCTGTTGAGGGAGCTCTTCTTGTAAAAGAATTTTAATGCGATATGACAGGCAACTTTTTTCTTTTTGGGGGCAGAAAGAATGAGTATTTGTGTGAACTTTACTAACTGCTTACACTGCATTTATTGACCCTTTTCTCTTACCCTTGCATACATGTGCATTAGACATCAAGGGTTTGAAAACAATAAAAAATATCCCATGATAAAGACCACATTCAATGGACGTTGCCCAATGCTTCAAAGCTTAAAGGAAAGAAGTATATTGTACTGGGTACAAAGTACAATTTGCATTTTCAAATAAGATTTAATAAAACTAAGACCTTAAGGTGCTCAGCAAGATCCAGTTCAATGCAGAAGATTGCCAATAAGTTTTTATTCTATTTAATAGAAGCTTTGACTTCTTTAAGATTAAGCCTGAGAACAGCAGAAGTGACAGAAATGTTGACAAGACGGACTTGTTCCTATTATGACTTCCTTCATGAGAGACTGAAGGGAAACAGCTTGGGTGCCTGAGACAGTCTGGTTAAGAGGAAAGGGCTTAACATAGCTGGATATGGATCTACAGCCTGCAACTCAATAAAAGGTTGAGTCCTGTGCTATTACTGAAGAGTTCTAAACCATGCTGTGAAGCACAATCCCAGGTTTAGTTCCTCATGCTTTTAAAGGATTGGATGCCTCTCAATTCAGGGGGAAAAAGCTACAGTATTTAGAGGAAGTGGGAAGTGTCCCAGCAAACACCTTCCTGTTCTAAAACCAATTCTGTACTGTTTTGCTTTTTTGCTGGTAGTGTCAGCCTACCTTCTCAGTAGCTTTCATTCTTTCAACTCCCTAGCAGAGTTGCAAAAAAAGAGCCCTTCTTTTCTTTGTTGCTTATCTACTGAAACTGCTCCCTTGACTCCAAATTACTCACCTTGTTTGAAGAAATGGCTTATTCTTAGATGTGAAGAAACTTATACTGGCCCTTTGTTACAATCTTAGCTGGCCAAAAGTAACGGCTGCAATTTAATGTTGCTTAAACTGTAAACTCCCTCCAGAATTATTCAACTGATTCTCATCGGAGATACAAAATAAATACTGCAAATACCCAGATTGTAAGAGTTGAGAGCACCTACAATGAAAAATGCTCTAATTCTCTAGAAAAAAACCAAATCAAACCAAAATGCTGGCTAGGGTGGGGAAAGAATTGGTCAGGAAATAAAACGATCCTTTTAAAGAATGCTGGTTATGTGGTGTTCTGGTGCTATATCAAATATGCTTAAATGCTTAAAATAAACAGTTGTTAGTCACAGCTTTATACTTTATAGCATGGACCTTGCTTTCTTGAGAGCGAAGAACCTGGGTAATTTTCAGCAATTTTTACGTTTGTTTCTGCTGCTGAACACCTGTTACATCTGATAACCATGTAGCAATAGTTGGTAAGGTCAGATCTGCTCCGGTGAAAGTACTTCAGAGCTGATGTGCCTCATTGTCCTAAAGGACAGGCCTAATTTCAGGGAGCTATAACCACTTCATACAGCAATAAATGCGTGGAGTCTAATCTCTGAAATTGTTAGTTATATGTTAAATTTGTATATGTATATTAATGCTTTGAGGTAGGATTTTGAAAGTAAGAAGTAGGATTTCAAAAGTGACAAGAAATCCAGGCCGGTTCATTACTAATAAACCTGCTTTCTTACTCTGGTTTAACTAGACCCTATTCATAGAGGTACTTAGAACAGCTACTCCTTTTATTCTGGAATAATCAGTCCAAAGAAATCCATTTTATGAATTTCATTACAAAAATATTCTTCCATTCCACCACACTATTGAATTTACCAAAAAGTGTATTTCCATAATGGGGCCTGTATCAGAGCTGAACATTTCAGGGGACAGATGAGGAACAATGACCAATTACCGGGTAATAAAAAACAGACTAAAGCCCAATGTAGTTAACTTTTGAATTTACTGTTTTGCATTTTTTCCTGAAGGTAAATGCCTTTGTGAACAGTTTTACATGGATTCGTTCTTTCAGAGACAGATTGCTTGATATATGCTTTTAAGCTTAATACATTTGTTTTCCTCAGTATTACTTACTCCTTGCAATGAGGAGCTAAAGATCTTAACTCTCAGAAAGCTCTCCTTTAAACATGTACCTCACCTGAAAAGGCAGGGTTTTACCTTGGCTGCAGCATACCTTCTGCGGAAGGAGCACTTCACCAGTGCTGCGTGAACAACCTGCTGCCCACAAAGGAGAGCATCACCCTTTGGCTCAGCTGCTATCGCTCCCTGACTTGAGCCACAGAGCAGTGAGTCGGGGGGCATCTCCTGGTCTGACTTTTCAAGAAGCCCTGAAAGACGTTACGGCTTCAGGGTGGTTCTGGGAGGTGGGAAGAGGTTGGTTGTCTGAGGGGACCAAACAACAGCGTTCGTATCCGAATCGCTCTCCGACATATATGTGAAGGACAGGATGCCAGTTTGAGGAGCCGTCCATGGCCCTGGCACATGCCCTACAGCTGCTCCAGCAGCTGCGCCAAAGAGCTTTTGGCTCGGAAGGCAACAGCTGGCGTGGGAGCCCGTAGCCTTTTGAAGAGCCTCCCTTTCTGTTGCTTTTGACGTGATTTTGGGCTTTGCCCTGAAGATGCTACCTATTTCTTGAAGAACAAAACAGGGAGAACCCTCTCTGTGGTGTGCATGGGCATCCCGGGGGGCCTGCGCACCCCTTCCTCCCGGCCAGCTGCGTCCACCGGGCCGCGCCCGCAGAAGCCCACCCGGTTTGTGTGAGGGGAGCGGGATGCGGCCCTCTGTCAGCACGGGGCTGCTTTGGCTCAGCGGGAGCTACTCGCAGCGCTGTCCCCGGGGTCCGCGCAGGCGGTGGACGTTACTTTCCCCTCGGCCGGTGCGGGGGCTGCTCGGCAGGCCAGGCGGGAAGCTTTTTCTTTTTCTTTTTCTTTTTCTTTTTCTTTTTCTTTTTCTTTTTCTTTTTCTTTTTCTTTTTCTTTTTCTTTTTCTTTTTCTTTTTCTTTTTCTTTTTCTTTTTCTTTTTCTTTTTCTTTTTCTTTTTCTTTTTCTTTTTCTTTTTCTTTTTCTTTTTCTTTTTCTTTTTCTTTTTCTTTTTCTTTTTCTTTTTCTTTTTCTTTTTCTTTTTCTTTTTCTTTTTCTTTTTCTTTTTCTTTTTCTTTTTCTTTTTCTTTTTCTTTTTCTTTTTCTTTTTCTTTTTCTTTTTCTTTTTCTTTTTCTTTTTCTTTTTCTTTTTCTTTTTCTTTTTCTTTTTCTTTTTCTTTTTCTTTTTCTTTTTCTTTTTCTTTTTCTTTTTCTTTTTCTTTTTCTTTTTCTTTTTCTTTTTCTTTTTCTTTTTCTTTTTCTTTTTCTTTTTCTTTTTCTTTTTCTTTTTCTTTTTCTTTTTCTTTTTCTTTTTCTTTTTCTTTTTCTTTTTCTTTTTCTTTTTCTTTTTCTTTTTCTTTTTCTTTTTCTTTTTCTTTTTCTTTTTCTTTTTCTTTTTCTTTTTCTTTTTCTTTTTCTTTTTCTTTTTCTTTTTCTTTTTCTTTTTCTTTTTCTTTTTCTTTTTCTTTTTCTTTTTCTTTTTCTTTTTCTTTTTCTTTTTCTTTTTCTTTTTCTTTTTCTTTTTCTTTTTCTTTTTCTTTTTCTTTTTCTTTTTCTTTTTCTTTTTCTTTTTCTTTTTCTTTTTCTTTTTCTTTTTCTTTTTCTTTTTCTTTTTCTTTTTCTTTTTCTTTTTCTTTTTCTTTTTCTTTTTCTTTTTCTTTTTCTTTTTCTTTTTCTTTTTCTTGCTTAACTTCTTTTTCTTTTTCTTTTTCTTTTTCTTTTTCTTTTTCTTTTTCTTTTTCTTTTTCTTTTTCTTTTTCTTTTTCTTTTTCTTTTTCTTTTCTTTTTTTCAATTTTTTCCCCTCCCCCCATGAGCGGGCTGGCGTGTTTCTAACGCAAACCTATTGTCGGCGGGGTCCAAACCAGACCTTTTCAGGCTTGAGCTCTTCAGCTGGGGCTGGCAAATACTGCTGCCCTGGTCTTCCACCTTTGAGGAGGGGAAGCATTGGTTGCGGGGAGTTCCACCGCAGTGCTTCCCTTGCAAACTTGGTGGTTGTCTGCAGGCACCTAGGCGAGTCTTGTCCCTGCACGGCTGACAATGCTCAGAGATTGCACCTTTGAGTAAATATAGTACTACGCTGTGTAAATATATTTTTAGTTCTCCTAAAACCACATAAAAGCAGTTCTGTTAAATACTTATTTTAGTAAGACTGTTATTAACTGTATAGATCAAATTTATTCCCTGCCAATCCATATTTAGGCACTTACAAAATGCCAAGTTTTTCTCCGCTCTTTCCTTTTTAAATACCTTTTGGAGTTGTTAGTACTTATAATGTAAACCATTTCTAGTTGCAAACTGGAAACCTCTGAGCAATAACGATCTGTTGCATTTAGCTGGCTGTCTCTTGTAAGCCCTACATTCTCATGCAAAAAAAGAAAGAAAGAAAGAAAGAAAAAAAAGCCTGAAAAAACCTTATGAGATTCATGTTTAGAAAATTGGCTGCATACATCATAGCTGTTTTTTAAACCTCAGTACCTAAGTCACATTTTCCATTCCAAATATTAAAAGTGGTTAAACTATATTAAAGGGATATACTCGACCTTAGTTCCCTTGCAAGCTTCAGGGAATTTTAACACAAAGGAAAATGGCTCTACAATTTAAAAGAATTGGGACTAACCACTTCTTGCAGTGCCTGATACACAGCAGCACCAAAGAGTGGAGGAGACTACTGGCAATTGTTAATGATCAGAATTGGTTTTGTTGTCCAAGCTGAGAATTATGCAGAATGTAAATGGGATATGTATGGTGACAAATACATTGATAAAAGTGTTCTTGCATTCTTTATAAGAAGTTTATTTTTAATAAAAAGCTAGTTTTCACAATGCTATTAGGAAGTTTTAGTTACACAGTTCACATTCAAACTGGCAGAGCTGTGTTTATAAAATCATACCCTGAAATAAGCAAGCCGCTTTTGTTCCTGATTTAGCTCATTTATGACCCAGTACGTCTCCTTACCTTAATAAAGCTAGAGAAAAAAGATAAAAATGAAATTGAGTTTAAAGGAATTCCTTCTTTTGAAGAAATAAATCCTTATTTTTAAAAAATGGAAGTTGTTTGCACTGCTTCTCAGGTAGGTAAAGGCTGGGTCAACCCAGGAAAGATTATGGTGAGTTGCAGACCTGTTGTGGTTCCCCATCTGCCCTGGGTCCAGGGGTATTCAGGCAATCTGACTTCTGGCACCTTCTGAACTACTCAGGTACCAATCTTCAGTACGTTAAGTTTGGAGATGGGTTCTCCTGCATGGATTGGAACCTGCAGGAGCTGGAATACCTGTGTTAGCAGCTTCTCTCTCCATTAGAGAAGGAGCCGGGGCTTTCACATTAGATGCTTGTAGATAGGTGCTATACATGTCCCACCATATGTGTGAATATGTAGTTTTGTTGACTGTAGTTGTCTTCAGTGTGGGAGTTATTTCTGTTTTCAAAGTTACGGCACTAAAGTGTGGTGATCTAATGGAAGTCTGTAGAGGCTAAGCTTGATTGCTCTTGTGACTTTGATTGAATGTGCCCTGCTTGTGTAGTCCTGGCTCGAATCATTCTTGAATGGAGCTGGAAATGCCATTGTCCAGTTCCCTTTGGTGCAGCCCCTTGCATTTAAATGTATGTCTAAAGCTCTTGCTGAAAATGAAGCCAGGACTTTCTTCCCAGAGGAGCTCTACCTCTTTCCAAATGTGCAGATGCTAGCCCTCTCAGGTACCTTCCACAGAGACGGGGAAGAAAGGCAGGGGATTGATACTAGGTTGTCCATTCCTTAAGGAAATCCAGGGTGGTGTAGTAATGCCATGGGAAATACTGATCTGCAGAGTTCTTGTGGATGCCCCCCAAACTCCAAACGTCAGCTGAGGTGATAATGTGCAAGAAGGCTAGGACTTCAAAGTTTATTTGGTCTTGAAGTGTCTCAGAGATGCAAGAAAGGATGTTACGTTCAAACCAATAAAAATGGTGGAATCAAAATAGAGTGGTGATAGTCCTCATGGCTTCTTGTGTGGGATGAGCTGCTGTAGCATGATCCAGAACGAGGAAGACCATCTTAGGTCAGTAGCAGTGGAAGCGGATTGTCGAAACCCTGGGACACCAGGAGGGAAAGGCTTGGGAAGTCAGAATCCAAGGTGATGATTTCTTACTCATGCATTGTTTGCATTGCAGTGTTTTCAAGACAGGCTTTTTCAAAGCATCCCAAGGGTTTTATACTCTGAGCTCCCTGATCAGGTTGCTATGTGTTTGGTTTTGGGGAAGCCTTGTTCTCAAACAAGCTGTGTGAGGTGGGGTGGTTTGGGGACTGCTGTCCTCTGAAATGCTATCTAAAATCCATGTGTTTCCCATTGGTTTTCAATGAAAAATGAACAACTAACTTCTGTAGGAGGCCTTTGGGAACAGCTTTGTCTTCCCATGCGTCTGTAAAGTGTCCAGCTCAACAGACGTTGTATGTTCCTGACTGAAGCTTGACTGTTACTACCGACCCTGCTCAATAGTAATGAATCTATGCTTTTTTTCAAATTGTTTGTACCTTTTTTTTGTTTTAGGGATCTTGTTAAGATTGTCGGACATCAGTAATATTGGTGCAAATGGTCCTGCTTTGGTTAGTGAGTGTGACCGAGTGGTCTATATGAGAATTGAAAGGAAAGAGAAATGCAGCAATCATGTGATTAATGCTTTGTTTGACTGTACACCGGTTTCTGCTAAAGCTATAAACTTGTAAAATGCTTTTGAGTAAGATTAATTTTCTTCTTCAAGCTGTTTTGTAAACATTTAAAATATTTTTCATTACTGAATACTGAAAACTCAAAGAATTTGAAACTATTTCAAAGAGGTGGCTGGTAAAACATACGTAGTAAATACTTCTAGCTCCCAGGACTGGATACAGATATTGTGTTAGGGATTTGAGCTATTGATTATGTAGATGTTAACTTGTCTGAGTGGAGTAAATAGTATGGCAGATTAAAAGTAGTAATAACTACTGTGGTATTCATTTTTGTCAGGATTATCAAATTTTCATGTGAAAATGAGTATTTTACTTGTGAGACCTTAGTTTACGATTCTTGCATAACGATGAATATTGATACCATTTGCAAAATATGTGTCTAGTTCCAAATTCTCTGAACTAGTTGAAAGTTCCTTTTAAAAGTAAAGTTAAGTAAAAAAATAACTTCATATATTTTTCAGATGTGGAAAGAGAGAATTTGAGATAGCCTGACATAAGGTGGACTAAGGTACAAGGGAGAGAGAAGAGAGAGAAATTATGAGGGAGTATCACTGAACTCCTCAGCTAGTTCTTTCCATGATATGGCAGCTCTCAAGCCACGTTCCGTACCCACCGGCAGCTCTCAGGTCTCTCATTTGCTTATCCTCTGCCAACTCCTTTGAACTCCCCACTGAGCACCGAGGCAGGTTCCCCCAGCACAGGACCCCGAACCTCCACCGTGAAAATCCACTGTGAAATTGGGGATAGATGTTTGCAGATCAGTGTTGCATTCTCTGGAGCATACAGTAATTGGAAGGCAGTCAGTCACGGCACGAAGCTCTGGCTGTTTTGGAGGTTATGAGTGGTGAAATTTGAGAAGGCCTTTGTTGGTGGAACAATAGTGGAGGTACACTGGAAAGTGCTTCCAGTGAAACTTTTTGCCACTCCCTCTACTCTCCCCCCTCCCATTCCCCAGCCATCTCCTAAAAGCAAGGTTTAGTGTAACTATGTTTGCATTTTACGCTTTGCAATGTCTTAAAATTTTATGCGTCTTTGAATTTTATTTCATGGTTCATGGCTTTTCACTTTATCTGTACTGGCTATCACTAGGAGTTTCTGGTACTAAAGTACTGCCTGTTTGCTTTACCTTGATACGGGGCAAATGCTATACCAGCCAGCGCAGAGAAATGCTGATGCATGGTGTCCTGTCCTGCAGTGGTAAATGGAGCGACAGCTTGATGTTCATCTCCATTCCCTCACTGGTATGGCCATAGCTTTTTCTGGTGGTAATCACCATGTACTTCTGTGAGAAATACCCAGGGTGTGCAGTTGTGACCTGGCTTCTCAGGGTTAAGTTACTGAGTTTAAATGGTATTATTTAAAGCACATTGCCTCTGTGATCTCTGACCGCTACCTCTTAAAATGCTGTTCTCCCTGCTTTTTCTTCTGGTGTCACTGACTTTTGTTGCTATTTTCGTCTTTCTGTGAAATGCAATTGTATTTCAGAGTTTATTGGTATTACCCACTTCCTTGTTTTCCGGGTTGCACTTTTCTTATTATTTGGCCAGGCTTAAGACCCTGGTGTGGGACAGAAAGCCAGTGATTTAACTGCTATGAGAGGGCTGGGTGGGGAATTGGGCAGGAAGGTTGGGGAGAGGAGGTTGTTTACATAGTATAACCTGAGTCGTCTCATGCAGGATTCCCTGCAGGGTCCTTGGGGTTCAGAGAGGTGATTTCACCAGCTCGTCACCTCCAGAAGCTCCATTAACAGAGGGCCGAGGTTCCTACCTTGGACCCGGATGGTCTGCATCACCCTTCAGATATTGTCAGGATACTTTTCTCCCTTATCTTTCTTCTCTCCCTCTTACTAAGATTAGTGTTTTGGTTATGAACTCTAGAAACCCGTGGTTCTCTGACAGTCAACTGTCAGCATAAAAAAGTTGCAGAAGTGCTAAAATGGGATTTTTCTCCTGTGTTAAGACACTTGGTACTGCCTTAACAATGTAATGTGCATTGGTGGTGGGACTGGGAAGTCCGGGCTTACTGCAGCATGGCATCCCCGAGAGGCTGGTCAGACGG